TCCAGCCCACTGAAAACACAGCTTTCTCACGAAACTATAATGACCACATGCCACACTGGATTGCATTGTATTACATTGCATTACATTGCACCATAGCAGTTTGTCACTCTGAACAGCAGGGGTTTTGTTCACTTTTAGAAATAGGTACTTCTCAGCTGAGGACCAGGTACAGTTACCATTATATATAAATAGCAATGGCAAGACATTGTACTGTGAATAAACAAAGCAATTAGATAAAAAAGAATAAGGAAATAGGAAACGTTATTTTTCTACTGTTTTGATAGTTGATCTAAGCACAATAGTATTCAATTCTGAATTCAGCCAATATAAAAAAAACTTGGAGCCAGATCCTCAGCAGATGTAAACCAATGTGGGTCTGTTGGTTTCCCTGTAGTCATGAAGATTTACACAATAAAATACCAGGGTCTAGATTTCTGCTTTCTATTCCCTTAAACTTTTTAGTTCCATGGGGGCCAAAAATATGTAGATGGCAAAAGCAGTTGGAATACTATGGCTTGTGGTAACAGAGAAAGTAATAATACATGAGTACAGAATATACATCTTAGAATACACATCATGAAATATTTAGGGTTTTTTCTTTGAATGGAAGAATATTTCTAGCCCCTTTTCTGGAGTAGGTCAGTCTCAGACTAAGGATCACATATGGGTAGAACATCAAAACTGGACTCTTTTCAGTTTGCATTTCAGGTATTTTAATCTTGTATCATTATTGCCCTGATTTTTTTCAGGGCACTCAGCCTTCTGGGCCCAGAATTTTTGCATATATTACTCAAGGAAGTTGTCCCATTTATTTTAGTTGGATAACTCACATAAAATTTGCAAGATCAGGTCCTACATTCTAGGATCAGGTCCTAGAATACATTGCCTGATCTTCTTCCTCCGGCCATTATAATACGGTGGGCTGCCAAAGAGTGCTGACGTCAATAGGAGGTGGGGGCACTCGGCACTTTGCAGGACTGGGCCCTGAGTGCGGTAATGATAGGCTTTTTATTTCCTATCATGTTCCCATCAGTTCCAGAGACGCGTTCTCTGATCTAAAGAAAGTTTAAGACATCTATAAATGCTGTTCTGTGCACTAAAATTACTATTGCAGTCAATAAGGATTTAAGTCTGGCAGTCATTCTTCAGACCAATTCTATTGCAGCATTGCAGAAAACATACCAATCCTGCTGATTTGCTGTTCTATTTTATTTAAAACTTGCTGAAAAAATAGCATTGATCATAGCATCTTTTGCACAAATCAAAGCCTCCTGTCAAATCATTTAAAATGTTCAAATAACTCTCCAGCACAGCGTGGGCTCTGTGACACTATCCATTTTCAATAATCTACTTCCCGTTAGCCAGAGAAGAGCATTTACCCTCATTATTGATAGTTCCTGACAACATTATTTTAGTTCTGAACCAATGGAAGTTCTATTTGAACAGAAGTCTTAGTAAGGCCTAATAAGTAAAATCCTGCTAGGACTTTTACATAGTACATCTTCATTATGTACAGTCCAATCCATTTCGAGCAACCATTCAAAATTAATGTCTTAACAGGGATGGACTTCTGATGAAGGGAATGCATAACTGTACTGACTTAGGTCCTAATCCTGCCATTGTTAGGGCTTGTTTAGATTAGAAAGTGATTAGAGTTAACTAACATTTTAGCACACCCGGTGTAGAAGAGCAGTGCTTGGGTAGCAGTTAATAGAGGTATTTTGCCTTTGCACTTCTAGGTGCATGGAGAGCTGAGGCAAGGGGAGGGTGCTTAGGGCTGCTTTCTACATGTCCTTTTTGGAGGTGCAGCATGTACTGCCTCCTTAGACTGACAACTAGTGCACAGAGATGGGCAGAGCCCTGCATATACACACACACTCCTTAGTAGGGGCTCAGTCACATCTAATGATGCTAAAAGTGAAAGCAGCTCCTGAACAGGTGTGTGATAACTCCCTGAGTCTGAGCCCCATCTGGCACACCTGTGCGGGAGGCTGCCAGAACTGTGCCAGAATCCGAAGGACTGACATTCCAAATGCGATAGATGCTTTGCTCTCTTAGGAAGAGGAGCTGGTTTGATAAGAATGCAAGACTCACATTGGCAGCTGTTGAAAGGGCAATCAGAAATGCCAGAGCCAGTTACTGATGGCTCCTTTGGATTGCCTATGAAAAGGAAATAATTACTGGGACGAAGGAGAGGCATCATCCAGCAGGCGCTTGAGGCATGTAGAGAGAAAATGTTAATGTCAATGCACAACTATGTTAATAGACACTCAGGGTCTCCTCCATATATTGCTTCCCTACTGGAAGTAATTTCTTGAGTTCCTCCAAAAAAGGTGTGTGTGCCCACCCACACACACACCCTATGTGGCTAGAACAATGCACACAGCCCCCTCATGTTCTGGGAGTGAGGAAGTACAACAGAATAAAGTACTCCTATCATATTCCTGGCAGTAGGATTGCAGAACAAATAATATTCTCCAGAATCTAAGGTTTTTTTAAAAAAAAACAATGGCCAGTAATCAAATCTTAACATTATACAAACTTAAAAGAAACCATCAGTATGCCCTTAAATAATTACTCATGAGACTTGCTCCTAAATTGACACAATCCAGAGAAAAGCAGCAAAAAATCAGATTATGTAAATTGATATTCAATTAACTTAGTATTTCAGAGCAATCATATGCTGGTGGCAAACTCTGCAGTTGTAATTTATTTTATCCCATATCAAAACATATTATCTCAATGAACTATATTCCAGCAGTGATTTATATGTATATTCTCTTCCTGAGTGCAATTCATTTTCATTTGAGTTGATAGATCTTTTTGTGCACAAGTAGAAGCAAATATATCCTGTATAGTAGCACTTTGGACTCAGAGAAATATTCTGCATTGTACAAACAACAAGGGGTCTGGTGACACTTTAAAGACTAACCAATTTATTTGGGTATAAGCTTTTTTGAAATACAACTCACTTCTGATGCTTGAAGAGAAAAGAAAAAAGGAAGGGATACAGAGATGGGAGTATGACATCAGTGCTAATTGAATCTGAGTGGATGTGGCTCACCTAGAGTGGATGTGGCTCACCTCCATCAGTGATGAGGTGGCAGTAACTTAAAGGGAAATTATGTATTGTAATAATTTTTATTACAATACATAATAGAATAGCCATTATAGAAGTTGTAGAATAATAGCCATTCTACGTCTCTGCTTAAACCTATTTTGACAGTGTCAAATTTTCCTATAAATTCCAGCTCAGCAGTTTCTCATTGCAATCTGTGTGTGTGTGTGTATGTATGCCCTCACACGTGCGCACCTGAGAATGGCAACTTGCAAGTCAGCTGCCCCGCACACGCGCGCACCTGAGAATGGCAACTTGCAAGTCAGCTGCCTCCAACCTGTTTGAGGCAGACTTCAGATTAGCAGACTAAAAAGCTGCTGTGTATTGTTCCCTTCTACTGTAAAGAACATTACTATAAGCCTAAACCTTAGCCACTGCCTGCTGAAGTTCAGGAAACACATGCACAGCAGGATGCCTCTAACTATTAAATGTGAAATGAAAAATAATAATCAAGTTTCCTTCATGCTATGTCTTTGTTGTGCAAATTGTGTGTGCGTTTCAGGCTGCTGTTTTTATATATATGTGTATTTACAAAGTGTGCTCCATGTTGTTTGGATGGGATTATAACATATATGATGCACATCATGTGCAATGTAACATTACAGAATTGCACATTTGTTTCTATATAAGATTACTGTATATGCATGAGCATGTAGCATATGGTGTTTGTTATTGTATATAGTATATCTAGTCTGACCTGCCACTTTCTGTTATAGAATCCTTGTTTTCAGTAACTTACACCTTTAAATTCTGACAAGGTAGGCTGAAATTTTCCATGTTAGTTGTTTGCCTCAAAGTGAATGCTTTGTGGAAAATTTCAGCAGAATGGTTGAATTGATTCCAAGAATGAGACTAGATGAAAATATGTTGTTTTGCCCACGATAAAAAATTCTGGTGACCTTTTTATTTGTAAAGCTCTAACACCCCCATGATGTGGATCAGGAATTTAAAATTTGTCCAGGGGATTCTCTCTCTGTCAGGAATGTAACTTTTGACATCCATGTGAAAATCTGCCCAAATTTTCGCAAGTGATAAGCTTCTGAAAATTGCAGTTTGCACATACTCAGTGGAGACTTACCAGACGTTTGCAGGTAAATTCCCAGAAGATTCCATCCATATCAGGCATTCTGCAACCCAGGGTTTTCCCAGTAATTGCATTTCCCAGCTGCTTTGGGTCCATCCAGGCCCAGGTCCAACTACCTGAATGGACAACAGGAAGCCTGCCTCTCTGTCCTGTGCTCAAAATGACTCCCTGCTAGGCTCAGGCAGTGTGGAGGACCAAGCTGCTTAATTCAAATGCAGAGGGGACAAGAACCATATCTGTGGGGAGAGAGGAGAGTAGGGCTACATCTAGACTGCAGGCTTCTTTCGGAAGAAGCTTTTCTGGAAGAGATCTTCCGAAAAAACTTCTTCCGAAAGAGAGCGTCCACCTTGCCAAAGTGCATCGAAAAAGCGATCTGCTTTTTCAAAACATAGTGTCCACACTGAATAGATGCTATCTCACATTTAAGTTGTGATTACTATGGATGGAGTGCTTTTTGTGGATGTGCTTTTTCCTCGTTCCTCTTCTTTTGAAAGAACTCCCTCTTTCCCATCCACACAGGCCTTTTTATGAAAGAGTTCTTTTGGGAAAAGGCTTCTTCCTTGTAGAAAGAGGTTTACCAATGTCAGAAAAACCCCTCTGTTCTTTCAAATGTTTTTCCAAAAGAACACGATTGCAGAGAGGACATAAGTGAAGTTTTTTCGGAAAAAAAGCTGTTTTTTAAAAAAAAACCTCTGTAGTGTAGACATAGCCTAGACAGCGTGGGTGTGCGGAAACAAATTGGATGCTGACAAGAAGTGGGAAATTGAAGTTGAGACTGAAATGATCATGTGGGGGAGAATGGGACAGCCTGAGCCAGTGGCTGAGAAAGTGAAATCAGATGAGAAGCTATGGGCAGATGGGACTGAAAATGTAGGAGAAGGAAAAACAGGTCTAATGAGAAGCTGGGGGTGGGAAGAGAGAATTGGGCTTAGTTGGGCAAAGAAATGGGAACAAGGAACAGTGAGTAGAAGACTGAGTCTGGACAAGGAGCTTGGGGAAGAAGATTTGAACTGGGAACCAGTGGAGATAGAGAATGTGGGCAGAGAGGAGATGATTGGCAACTAGGGTTGGAAACAAACAGGTCAGACAAGGAGCCAAGACTGATTGAGCTGAGACTTGGTGGGCAAGGAGACTTGGGACAAGGAGCTGGGGGGAAGGTGGGGAACAGAATGATTCAGCAAGAAAACTGTGACTTGGATGAGAAGCTGAAAGAGTGGAGACTGGAAGTGACTAGATGAAGAGAATGCAACTGGGAGAAGGATCTAGAAGGGGGGCAGAGACATGAGTGGGGAAGAGGGAGGACCAAAGGGATCACATTTTGGGGGGAATAGGCAAAAGAATCCATGCTCATTAGACTTTTAGAGCACGCTCTCCTCTAGAGCTGGAAAGCAAGGTACAGTTTCTGAGTCTCACCTTTTCTCTGCAATCAGTAATTATCTGTGAAACTCACTGGCAAAGTGCCCCATTGCTCTCTAGTGCTGGTCCAGGTACGGATGGCAACTCCTACTGCTATCAGTTATCCTGTTGGCTCAAATGGCAGAGGCCTGTGTAGTGGATCAGAAAGCTTCTAAGCTTGCTGATGACCCTTGTAGGTGTCAATATAATGCCTTGTGGAGTTTCTGGGTTTTTTTCAGTTGGTTTTAAAAAAACCTATGAAATTAAACACACATTCACGCTCATAAGAGGCCTAGGGCTAGTCAGCTCTGTTCCATCAGTCCAAGCTGTGCTGCTCATTAATTGCCTCTTAGCCAAAAGGGCTTGGATTAAGATCAGGTGATATAATGAGACATGTGGGCTTTATAAAAGGGCAGAAAAGTTAGCTTGGTGGAGGAATAAGGAAGGTTTCTGTATGGGGGAAAAGAAAGCAGGAAAAATTGCTTGGGAGTCAGTGCTGAAGTCTAGCACCTAGAAACCTGAAAGGTAGCAAAGCCCAGTGATAGCTAAGGATGCAAGGGCTTCTAGGGTAGTACCCTGGGAACGGGATCCTGAAGAATCAGGGCAAGGCCAGGAGAGCAGTTTGCCTGATGACTTTGTGGAGCTGGAGAATTGGATAAGGAATGCAGTCCTGTGGGGACCTAGAAAGTGGCTTGAGATTAGTACTTTGAGGATTGTCTTTCTAATAAATATAGACCTAAAGGAAGGTATTGGAGAGGGTGCCTTTGTGGCTTATTTCTGGGAGCCTGGTGAGAAGAAGCTGAGGCAGGCTCCCCCAAGGATGTGCACATGTGTTAAAAGAACATTAGGAGGGCAAAGCCAAGCACTCGAGTTAGGAAATGCTGGAATGTTGGTTACTTGTGCACATAGATGCTGACTCCCTTGCAAGTTGAGGGTTTCTTGACCCTTGCTCTGCCTCTTCCCCCTCTGTGCCTCCTGCATGCTGGTTAATAATTGTTCCTCAGAGTGCGGTAAGCTCTGGGGGAAGCGGGAGAGGAGGTGACTGATGGAGGTGTGCTCAAAGAAGGGGTGGAGTGGGGGAGGCTGGTTGGTAGTGGCTGCTTAGCAGCTATCAACTCTTTTCTGTGGGTGCTCCAGCCCTGCTGCACCCATTGAGTCCATTCTAAGTTTGTGTGACCCTAATTCAGCCCTTTGTGTGCATGTAGTATGATATCCTTTCCTCGGGACCTCTGCGCTCATCAGTGCACAGGATAGGCTTACGTCTGGAGATGAATCCTGGCTGTGTAATGAGGGGCAACATTGTCTAGTAAGATCCCTGCTTCATTTCCTTGCAGAACTTGGAAGGGCTGTGGTGAATGAAGCAGGGGGGGAAAGGAAGGTCTCATTGTTAAGGCAGTTGAATGCTGTTGTGACAGAATGTATCCCTGTGTTCACACTGTACACACTATTGTAGTAATCTTGGGACAAAAGATGCTTTGTGAGGTATCATTTGAAGACTAAAACTTGCTGATGAGTATTAATATGATAGAATGTGCAGTAACACTGTGAAGCTGTAAGATTCCACTGTACAGTGGTATTAATGTGCTCCAAATTGAGATAGTTACAGGCCTGTCTGTCAAACAAAATGAATGTGTACTCTGCTTAACTTGCATTTAAACAGTACATAGACTTATCGAGCAGGAAAGGAAACTCAAACAAGTGATAAAAAAGCAGCAGAGACTTTATCTTCTGATACCCAGTTGGGGACACTTTTCATGAGGGGGACAAACTATTAAAAAGAAAGAACAAACACCCCAAAATACAGGCAGTCCCTGAGTTACGCGGATCCGACTTATGTCGGATCCGCACTTACGAACGAGGCTTTTCTCACCCCGGAACTCGCGGGCGGCGGGACCACCCAGATGCGCAGTGGTCCCACCACCACATCCTCCGGGGCAAGAAAAGCTGCTCCAGGTGTCCCTGGTCTGCTGGAGGGGTCCCCAGCAGACCAGGGACACCCCGAGCAAAGCCTTGGAGGCGGCAGGGTCCCGCGCCTCCAAGGCTTTGCTCCGGATGTCCCTGGTCTGCTCGGGGTATCCCTGGTCTGCTGTGAGGGGTCCCCAGCAGACCAGGGACACCGCGAGCAAAGCCGCAGAGGCAGCGGGGTCCCGCGCCTCTGCGGCTTTGCTCCGGAGCAGAGCCTTGGAGGCGCGGGACCCCGCCACCTCCGCGGCTTTGCTCCGGGGCTCCCTGG